CCCCCCTCCCCAATCTCTCTCACTCCGTCCCTCTTCCATCGTCATGATTCCACTCCGCCTTTGTCCCGCTTCCGCAGCAACTTTCTTCCCCGGCTGTGAAAAGCCGCGGTGGGGCGCGTGGCGTCGCGTGGCGTCGTACCCTAGTAGCAGTGACATATCGAGCGATTGTCGAAAAGCCCTCTTTTGCCGATAGTCCGATAGCGGTAAATCGACACTGTTATGAGAATCTGCCGACACTCGAGCAACACACTATCGTCTGTGTGATGGAATCACGATACCTGCATCTGAGCTAGAAATACAAAGTGGATGCTACCTGTCGCCCTAACATCGGAATGATATCGCCATGACTAAAGAAAACTGTTGCTTAACAGGCATCGATATGTCATCGTACGGATAGCGGGAGCTGGAAGTGATGGCTGAAAGATGTTGTGCCCATATCGCCGTCCTCACACAGTTCTGACATTTTTCTATAGGCCCGACGATGATCAACCGACATCCGTGCGATTTGCGCACGTGGTCAGTCGATCTTCTCGCTCTCGAAATGTTGTCGGCATGATATCGCCAGAAGTGAAAGAAAATGTCTCCTCACAGGCATCTGTGCGTCATCGTGCAGATTACGGGGACCAGGAGGTGACGGTTGAAAGATCTTGTACGCATATCGCCCTGCTCACACAGTTCTGACATTTTTCTACAATCCCGACGATGATAAGCCGACATCCGTGCGATATGCGCACGTGGTCAGTCGATCTTCTCGCTCTCGAGATGTTATCGGCATGATATCGCCAGGAGTGAAAAAAGGTGTCACGTGACAGGCATCTGCGCGTCATCGTGCAAATAAAGGGAGCAGGAGCTGACGGCCGATCGATGTTCTGCTTATATCGCCCTACTCACACAGTTTTGACATTTTTTTACAAGCCCGACGATGATCAGCCGACATCCGTGCGATATGCGCACGCGGTCAGTCGGTCTCCACGCTCTCGAGATGTTATCGGCATGATATCGCAAAGAGTGAAAATAAGTGTCGCCTCACAGGCATCGATAAGTCATCGTGCACATTACGGTAGCAAGAGGTGACGGCCGATCGATGTTGTGCTCATATCGCCCTGCTCACACAGTTCTGACATTTTTCTACAAGTTCGACGATGATCAGCCGACATCCGAGCGATATGCGGAAGGGGTCAGTTGATCTCCACAATCTCGAGATGTTATCGGCATGATATCGCCAGTAGTGAAAAAAAGTGTCGCCTGACAGGTATCGATAAGCCATCGTGCACATGACGGTGGCAAGAGGTGACGGCCGAACGATGTTGCTCATATCGCCCTGCTCACACAGTTCTGACATTTTTCTACAAGTCCAACGATGATCAGCCGACATCCGTGCGATATGCGCAAGGGGTCAGTCGAGCT